ATATAACATTCAACAGGGTACATCCATCTCATATAAGTTGGTCCACACAACTGTGTCTCTTTCACAAGATGAACAACTAGATGTACCATTATGTCAAAAAAAAAGAGGGAGGAAAATACATCTCAATCTCACACAAGGTAATAACTATTTCTTTTTACAGTGTTGGTAAGACCTCATGATCGATCACCTTACTACAAATTGACCTAAAGAAAAAACACAATTTAGTTATAGTGCTTCTTACTTTTTCTAGCAAAATAGAACATATACCTATTGGTAGAAAATGCTCCATTATAACATGACAATCATGTGTCTTTAAACTCTTAAACTTGAGGTCTTTCATAGACACAAGTCTTCTAATATCTGAAGAGTATCCTTCTGGAACTTTAACTTCACTTAGAAACTTGCACAATATTTTATCTCCTTTCTAGATAGAGTAAAAGCAGCAGGTGGTAGATATGTTCGTCTTCCTTTCTTCACGGGTCCTAATTCAGTTCTTATTCCCATCTTTAACATTTCCTCCCTTGCTTTAAGACCATCCTTAGACTTTCCTTTTATATTAAGTAACGTACCAATAACACTTTCGAATACATTTTTTTCAATATGCATAACATCGAGAAAATTTCTCACATATAAAGACTTCCAATATGGTAATTCAAAAAAAATTGACCTCTTCTTCCACCCACCTTTGACAACCTTATGTGCAAAAGGCTTGCCAAACTGAGTACACACATCTTTCACCTTTTCAAAAATTTGGTCACCTGACAATGCAGGTGGAGCTTTACGTTGTTCAATGTCTCCATTGAATGCTTTGATGTTTAGAATGTAAGAATCTGCGATGACCGAGAAACACATTCTTCTGACAAAGTTCCAATCGCGTCGTATCGATTCCATCTTCACAAACAGAACACGTACGTTGACCTTTAATGTTATACCCAGATAGATTCCCGTATGCTGGAAAATCACTAATTGTGCCAAACAACATCGCCCTCAAATTAAAACTTTCTTTCCTATATCCATCATAAACCTCCACACCGTTCTCCCACAAAATCTTTAAATCTTCGATCAAAGGTGTGAAGTATACATCTATGTCATTCCCTGGTTGTTTAGGCCCAAAAATTAACATAGATAACATCATGTACTTACGCTTCATACATAGCCATGGAGGTAGGTTATAAATCATAAGAATCACAGACCATGTGGTATGTGAGATACTTTGAAGACCATTTGGGTTCATTTCATCAGTAGGTAATGCCAAGCGAAGGTTTCTTGCTTCTTCTCCAAAATTAGGATAATCATCATCAATTTTCGACCATTATGGTGAATTTTCCGGATGTCAATACTTTCCATCAATAATTCTTTCATCTGCATGCCAAGTCAAGTGTCTTGCATCAGTTTCACTATGAAACATGCGCCTAAATCTCGAAATTATAGGAAAATACCATAAGACTTTTGCTGGAGACAATTTTTTCTTATATTGAGATAAACCGCATTTAAGGCACTCATTTAACAATGCATATTTGTTTCAAAACAAAACACAATCGTTTGGACAAGCATGTATCTTATCATAGCTCATGCCAATAGAGCACAACATTTTTTTGGCCTCATAGGTTCGATTAGGAAGAACATTATCCTCCGAGAGCATATCTATCATAAGGGCTAATAACTCAGAAACTTTTATCTGACCATCCATTGCCCACCTTTAAGTTTTACAACTTTAATACCGCAGACAATCTTGTGAATTTAGTGCAACCTTTATACAACAGTTTCTCTGCATCGCTTACCAATATCTCAAACATTTTTGGAAAATCGTGAAGATCTTCTTCAAGTGCATCTGCAATCTCTTTTACTCGATCAAAATCATATGTATTTGTGTCCTTGTCGTCTAAAGCATAGGTCGTACTAATTTTCTCCCCCGGTTCAACATTGTCGTTACTTTTTTCACCGTGAAATATCTAACATGTATAACTTCTATCAATTCCATGCATTAGTAAATGTGATTTCAATCCATCTGCATCGACCTGACCCACATAACAAAAACCCAAGCAAGGACACTTCATTCGAATGAGGTTTTTGGCGTGTTCAACAACAAACTTAACGAATTCCCATACTCCATTCTCGTACTCTTTTGACAATCGATCGGCAGACATCCATTTTTTATCCATTTTTTTCTACTAATTAAAGTAAACAAAAACACTATAAACGGATTATTCCCTTTTTGTATGAATTAAACGAATTATTTCTAGAAATTTATTTCTAGACTTATTAATATGGGCTAAAAATAAATATAGGAAGGAGATAGTAAATAAATAAAAGAATCGGTAATGTTGAATTTGAACTTACCTTACCAAAGAAAGAAAAGGGGTTATTGGTGTCGACGGCGGATGATGCGGCTTTGATGTTCTTCGAATTGGTGATGGTCTTCGACAAACTACACTAATACAAAGGGATCATCAAAAATAAACAAAAACAGTCCATTTAGGAGGCTAATGAATTTAGGTGTCAACGCACATGAACAAATTTGGGAAAATAGTATATACACTATAAGAATATTAATACAAACTTTTAGAAATTTTGTATGATTTAAACGGATTATTTCTAGAAATTTAGTACATATATATCTCATAACCAAACTCTACTAATTAACTATATATATATATATATATATATATATATATATATATATATATATATATATATATATATATATATATATATATATATATATATATATATATATATATATATATATATATATATATATATATATATATATATATATATGGTGTTGTCTAGCATTACGTGTGACTTCACATGCACACTTAACTCTACAACTACATTATGGAAGTATTATTTGCATATTTTGTCAGCATACAAGGAGAAAAATCATGTTTGGCATAACAATTATGCACTACGTAATTAGTTTTTTCATAATGAGTGCACACACGATTTCCACATTCACTAGATGGTCCTGTTCCATTGGATTTTCCTTTGAAACCTTGTGAGTCAACAATGTTCACAAGAGCCTTAGAATTCATAGAAGGAGAAAAAATTCCCATGTCTCTCATGTTGTAAAACCGTGGAGAAAATCTTAATCATAGGGAGAAGTTGATCCGTAGCAAGATTTAAGACTTAATCATAGATAATTTTGTATTTAAAACAATCACAAAACAAAATTCATACAAGACGGTATGGTGTTGTCTAGCATTACATGTGACTTCACATGCACCATTAACTCTATAACTACATATAAAAATAGGGATATAGATTTCAAGTTTTTCCCACAAAATCTTTAATCCCGAACAAAACACAATGACTTACCTAGAATCTTGTTGCATCCATATATTTCTTACATAAATTCATAGAGACACATTATGGAAGTATTATTTGCATATTTTGTCAGCATACAAGGAGAAAAATCATGTTTGGCATAACAATTATACACTATGTAATTAATTTTTTCATAATGAGTGCACACACGATTTCCACATTCACTAGATGGTCCTGTTCCATTAGATTTTCCTTTGAAACCTTGTGAGTCAACAATGTTCACAAGAGTCTTAGAATTCACAGAAGGAGAAAAAAATTCCCTTGTCTCTCATGTTGTAAAACCGTGGAGAAAATCTTAATCATAGGGAGAAGTGAATCCATAAGCAATATTTGATACTTAACTATAGAAAATTGTGTATTTAAAACAATCACAAAACGAAATGCATACAAGACGGTGTGGGGTTGTCTAGCATTACGCGTGACTTCACATGCACACTTAACTCTACAACTACATATATATATATATATATATATATATATATATATATATATATATATATATATATATATATATATATATATATATATATATATATATATATATATATATATATATATATATATATATATATATATATATATATATATATATATATATATATATATATATATATATATATATATATATTTCAAGTTCTTCTCACAAAATCTTTAATCCAAAATTAAACAGTGACTGAACTTTACATACTACATATACAACCATAACTAACTCTTGCAACTGAATTTTAAATGATTGTTACAATTTGTTACACCCTCCATACACATTTATAAACAACAAAAATATTTCAATTATTGATTACTATTATAAATAAAAGTCAATTATTACTAAATCAGTTGTAATTCCTAATATACCCATCTATTTCTTTTTCCAACATCCAATTAAATTTAATAAACACAACATTATAGTAAATTTAATTAATGTTTTCACAAAAATCTAAAAAGTTAACTAAACTTCATTGAATTTCATAATAACCGTGAAAACTATTTTTGTTGTTTATAAATGTGTCTGGAGGGTGCACAACTGATTTTTGGGGGTGTGTTTGAATTGACGGTGGATAAAATTAATTATACACCTCTAAAATTGATTCAAAAAACTTATAAAAGCCAATCCAAACAAGCACTTAGACTTTTGCTGAGGTCACTTGTGATGGAAGCAAGTTTAAATCATCGTGCTCCTTTTCTATATGTTGCACAAACTTATCTTCTAAGTCTTGATTCTTGTTTTCTTTGTCATTCAACGGATACGCTTAAAAGAAAAACATGTTCGTTCATTTTGGAAAAACAGTATTTAGAAAAAAGAAGAGAAGGTTGAAAAAAAACAGGAGAGATCCAAAGTACATTTTTTTAATTATAAAATAAATAAAGTGTTGCTATATGATGGTGGTGACTATAACCATAAATAGTTAAGTAGATTATTTAAAAGTTACCATGGGAGTAGTGTAATGCGTGTGCATTGTAAATCACGTGGTACTAGAACGTTCCACCACCACCTTCCTGCATGGAGTACTGAACCGTTGCATGTAAGCTATAACGGTTTGAATGATTTCTTGGTTGAATGCAATGACACGGGGGCTTTCCACATTCCCAAGCTCTTGCTAATTAATGTTAATCTGCCTATAAATGAGCATAGCCTCTTGTTCCGTTTATTAAGCACACGAGTATAGCTTTCAAACATGGCATCTTCTTCCACCACACAACCAAGGTGACCCTCAAACTTCTTATTGACACCAAGAATCAAAAAGTTCTGTTCGCTGAAGCATCTAAAAATGTCATTGATTTTCTTTTCAACTTGCTCCGCTTACCTGTTGGTACAGTCGTAAAACTACTAACAAAGAATGACATGGTTGGTAGTATAGGAAATCTGTACGACAGTGTTGAAAACATGAATGAGAATTACATGCAAGTTGGGCAAACCAAGGACGTTCTTTTGAATCCAAGAGCTCCATCTGAAATTTCTGGCCTTCTTACTGCAAATGAAGCTGATACCAACAACAACCTTGGAGGTGGAGGAACATCATACTATAAATGTCCAAGTAACTGTACTTTTGATGTCACATGTGATAGCACGACTCTTTGTTCTAACTGCAATCGAGCTATGAACAGCCTCACACGTTATGTTGGAAAGAAAGTTGTTGATGACAATGTTGCGGTTCAAAATGGTTTTGTAAAAGATGTTGTATCATTCATGGTGATGGATGATTTGGTCATTCAACCCATGTCAACAATATCGAGCATCACTTTGCTGAACAAGTTCAATGTCAAAGAGGTTGGTACCTTGCAGGAGAAGATTGTTGAAATGGGGATGGATCAGGTAAACTATATCATTACTATTCTTTTTTATTTATTTATTTTTATTTCTGTTTCTATTTATTAAACTTGCATTATACCATCTTAATTTTTAAAATTGTTTTATTTTTTTATTATAGGGCATCAAGTTGCTTAAGGCTTCACTGCAATCCAAGATGGTCTTGACTAGTGTTTTCCTCAAGTAAAATATATGAAGAAGGATTAGTTTGACTTTACTTTTTAGTTTGAGTTTTAAAATTTTTAGAGGATTTGTCGTTTTGGTATCTATGTTGTAGTTTTTGCTTTCTGTTTCCCTAGACGCTTTCTGAACGATTAAGTTTGATTTATTGTACTTTTTATTAAGCAATGTGTTCTGACTTTTATAATTTTGTTCTGACTTTTATAAATTGCACCAGCTCGTAGTAACTACGCTTTGGAAGTAAATGACCAATAATTTATATCAAATTCATCTTTTAATTTATTTTTATGGAAGGCCAAAAGAAACAAATTTCTTGCTAAAAAGAAGCAGGTACTAGGCATGCCTATTACAAAACACGTTTTCAATATAATTCAAAACAATTGCAGCACTCCTTACAGAACAGCTCCTTTAATTTATCTTTTAATTAATTGCATCATGTTGTATTTTAAATGGCATTATGATTATGTGTAAAAAAATGATGAAATAGTGAAACATTTGATTTTTATGATATTAAGGTCAGTTTTTAATATTTCAAAATGATCAGAAGTGAAGTGGATTAAAATAAATATTTTAAGCTTATTTTCTAATATTTGGAAAATAAACTGAAAAAACTGAGTTGTATCATTTAATTCTATTTTTATTCTTGTTTAAAATAATTTTATGGTGAAGTTGCCATTTTGACTTTTTTTGAAAAATGTCATAATTTTAGCCAATCACGAAGGTTTTTGAAACCCTAATATGCCATATAGAATTATGTTATACATCCTACTTATTATGTAACTTCATAATTATTAATATTATAATTAAGTCTCATTCATTATTCAATCATGATAATTAATTTTTAACTTCAAATTTGATATTTTAACAAAATCAAAATAAATTCAAATATTGAAATAATTTCGTTTATTTCATTCACATTCTTCCCTAACCAACCCAAACAAACACAACTTCATGTTCTACAACTTCATATTATGCAATTTCATCTTCTTTACTATCTCCGTTCATCTCCATCCAAAGCAATCGTATAATGACCACTAACAAATACATGTTTCATCTTTTGCATTCGTGAGTTTTCTTCTCTGCAATACTGTTTAACGAGCGAACCTTCAACCTTAGTGATTGTAAGTGTTTGTTGATAGCAATTTTGGTAAAATAATATTTTGATAATGTTTTGCTAAATTTTTTTAACATTTGAAGCAAACTGTTTTGAATGATATCAAACCAGGATGTCTTGACATCTGCCTCCTGAACTGATCGCATCTCATATTTAGGATTTGAATTATCTTTATAAATTATATCTTGGTCTGTTTTCATGAAAATATTCAAAAGATATTTGTTTTTCAACCCAAGCCCACTGCCGCGCATACATATTTAAGGACCTGCTTCCTTATTCATTGGATGACAACTTTTTAAGAAGAATACTTTCTTTCTGTTTTAGAAGTCTAAGTCTTGTAATTGTAAAACGCTCTAGTATTGATTTAATACTTGAGTTGTTATTTAGGTTATTAATTGTGTATCATTCATAAGCTTTTAAGCATTGAATGATTGAAGTCTTTAAAACTTATTAATTAAGTTGTTTCTTCACTGTAAGTGATTTAAGGGATTTGAGGAGGGCCTCATACCTAGGAGTGTCTTAGGTAGAAGTGTAGTACGGGTATTGATTAAGTTATTAGATCGTAAATTGGTTGTTTACTGAGGGTCTGAATTGATACTATTTGGTGGACTTGTCCCTGGCTTGGTAGCCCCCAGAGTAGGTGATGTTGTACACTGAACTGGGTTAACAATCCTCTGTCTTTTTTACTGTTTATATAATTGTGCACTTTACACTATACTCAGATATTTGTGTCGTGACATCTCATTCGACATCCCATATATGATACCTGAATTTCAATTGGTATCAGAGCAGGCATCCTGCTCTGATACTTTCTGGTACTATGGACGAGTGTTGTACCCCAAAATTTGCCCTCTCAATTCTCAAGGCCTTTCTTACAAGGATTTTCAAGGTTCAAGCTTGAACAAGTGCATTTGGATGTTCCAAATACCAAAATTAAAAGGAAGCTGTCAAAAATGGAAAAAAAACAGATAAAAATATTATTTTGACAAAAATTGGAGAAATACAAGTGTTCTTCGTTTCAGCTCTTTCGATTGGCCTTTAGGCATCTTTCGATCAGCATCCTCCGATTGACTCTTGGCCTCCTTCGATTGCTCAAAATGGATGCTAGCGTGCCTCTTTCGCATGGGCATGTGACTTCTTGTTGCAGGTTTCGTTTGTGACTTTTGCTGCCTACATTGCTTGCCTTGAAAACCATGTTTGCTGGCCACAAGTTCCCCCTGCAAGGCAAACCCTTTGATTCACCAAGCATGTTGCCTGCATGTTTGCTTTAAAAACCTATTTTAGCTGCTTGTAAGCCTGTTTCGATTTGGACAAGTTCACTGCCTACAAGCCTGCTTCGATTGGGCATATGCTGCTTGCAAGCCGACTTCGATTGGGCAATATGCTTCCTTTGAGCATGAGATTTTGATTTGGCAATATGTTTTCTTCGATACAAGTTTCGTCTGGGCAATGTGAATTCAAATAGGTCCCCTTCGATTCAGAAGGAAATGATCTCCATACAAGTTTCGATTGAGTTTTTGGTTCCCTTTGAAACAGTGTCCTTCGACTCAGGAATGTCCTTCGACCCAGGAATGCCCTTCGAATTAGGAAGTAAAGGCCTCCTTCTGGTTTTCTTCAATTCAAAGAGTCAATAATGTTCTGAAAGCTTCCTTCGATTCATAAGTTAATAACCTTCTGAAAAGGGCCATTCGAAGAACACACAGTTGGCCCATTCGAAGGACACACAGCTGGTGAAAATGAATGTTGTTTTGTTCCAGTTTGGTTGAAAGGTGTAGAAAGATGGAGGATTCGACTCAAAAGATCAAGTTGAACATTCAGACCCATAGGCTAGGCCACGTGTCTTCCCTTTTTAGGCATGTACCCATTTATTGTCTAAGACCACTTGCACTTAATAGCACAGTACTACCTTTTAGGAAAGTCTGTCTTGAGCCTTGCACCTATTTTCCTTCAGCATGAAGCAACCCCATCCGAACCATTCATCTTGCTTTTGTGGCACAAGTGAACATTCACTTTCCAGTTGGGCCTTATTTTATTATTTTCTCTCCCCAAGCTTCCCAAAAGCCTTTCTCTATAAATAGAGAGTTCATTTGCACAAAGAAGAGGGCAGAAAAGAAGAGGAGAACGTATCTTCAAAATTCTCACACACCACAAAATTCTCAAACACTCAAACACTCAAACACTTAAACACTTAAACACTTAAACACTTAAACACTTAAACACTTAAACACTCAAACACATACCCAGAATCCAAACAACAAATCCAGAACTGCACCCTCCTGTCTAACACCAGAACATCAAACCTGTGTTACAAATACAAGCCTAAGGCATAACAAGCCTTGAGGCCTGCATAACCTCAAAACCTGCCTTCCTTACCAAAGCCAGAAAACTCAAGCCAGTTCAACTGCAACTGCAAACAAACCTGCCTAAAGCCAGTCCAACTGCAACTGCAAGCAAACCTGTATCAAAACTAACAAAAACTCAGACCTGCTTGTATCAAATCAAAGAGCAAACACTTATCCCCTTAGAATCTGAAACATCCCTATACCTTGTTACCCTTTGAATCCAGTAGGAAGAACCTCACACTTATCCAGTATCAAAGACATAACTCCTGGTTCCTCCCTTTGAATCCAGAAGCATTCAAGGAAACCACTTAAAGGCCCAACACACGTTCCAGCCTCAAGCAAGGTAAGTCATTCTTAACCTTGAACCCTTCATTTCTAGTGTAACATGTAAATAAGCTTCCTTTTCGTTTCAAACATGTGCATAGTGTTTGTTACCTTTTCGTTTCCACTCTTTTAGTTTGTTTTTATTGTCTCTCCTTTTGGTTTTGTTCTTTGGTTTGTTATAAATGTTCTAAGAACTAACCTGGCTCTGAGGTAATGACAACATGTCCTTGGGCCATGTTGCTATTTAATATCTCAAACGAAATAAACAAAAGACAGGAGTATGAAATGAAGCCCCAGGCTTCCTCACTGACTCCAGACCCAATCGAAGGAGACAGAAAGGCAGATTGCATCTTGCACAGATTCCAGGCCCAATCGAAAAAGGCAACAAGGCAGAAAGGCCCAGCCAGAGGCACACTTGCACTAAGTCCAGGCTCAGACGAAAGGCACTTCCATGCCGGTGCCAGCCTCCAATCGAAGTACATGACCTGACTGGTGCCAAAACCCAATCGAAGGTCATGACCTCACTGGCGCGAATTCCCAATCGAAGGACAGGACCTTACTGATGCCATCCCCCAATCAAAGGAGTCCAACAGAATGCAAATCGAAGGGTGCTCCTGCCTGGGTTGAAAGTCATTCATTTTTCTTGCTTTTACCTTATTTTTGCCTTTATCTTCTCATGCAATTCAATATGGTTGTAATAGTATAGGATATTTATTTCCTGCATTTTTATTGCTTTGTACAAATGCTAGTAATTAGGTGTGTATGGCAAGATAAAATCAACAAGTAGACAACCCAAAAATCAAAGACAAATTGCATGCAATCAAACACACTTGCACACATGCACCCTTAGGGTAATTCCACTTGTTGCCTTACAAAAATGGCCATGTTATGCATGTGGGATGTCTTAGCACAAACGAATTGAAAAAAAGATCATAGTCCCTCGATGACGCTATTAAAGTTGCCTTTCAAAAATGATCTTAGTCCCTACAGAAAAGTGCTAAGTCATTTCACAACATTGTTATCATGGTCATACGATGACCCGCGCCTGTCCCGTTTACATCCTAACACAAGGTTGTTCACCAAATACAATGGTGAAACAACACTGTTAAAAGGGTTAAAAACATAAGAAAGATCTTTGAGTAAAATAGGGTAGACAACTCTTAGTTACTTGATCAAAAATCTTGCAAAACATCCTTGCTGTTTTTTAAAACACACTCCACAACACAA